ATTAAAAATTAATATTTTTATTTAAAAATTAATAAAGTTAACATTAAAAAAAAAAAGGGTAAAATTGGCATTTTCTTTCACCTTTACTCTAACTTAAACCCTACACGTTAAGGACGGTTTACAGGGGAAACTGGGAAAGCCCGCGTGCATCAGCTGCTTGGATTCGATTCTGCTCTGCAGAACTCCCGTCGTCGGTGACGGTGACAGAAGTTGATTTCAGCTTCTGTTTCAAATTTCGATTCTTTTGTTCTTTTATTTTAGCACCGGAGGTAATAAGGGCAATTTGCTCTTCAATAAGCGTCCAGTATGTCTCAGAATAAACCTCAATCGGATGCAATTCAGAACGCCAAAGTTACCTGGGAAGGTTGCAGCGTTTTGCTCGACATCAACGACGGCGACCGCTTGGTTTTCTCTCGTCTCTCTGCTGGCTCGTAAGCTTGTTTTTATTTTGTTTTCTGGATTAAAAAGCTATTGCTTTTCATCAAGATTAAATTTCAGTCGCTGAACTGAATGCTGCAGGACGTTGAAAATCGGCAATAAGAATTGCTCTCTGCAACCCCTGATTGGTTGTCCCTTTGGTTCTCTGTTTCAAGTTGAAAACGGGAAGAAGGGGCCTTATTTATCTCGCATTATTCCTTCTACAGAAGGTTTGGCCCTGTATTTGTTTTAATTTTTAATTAAATTTACAATTGTGTGGCTCGAATACTATAGTTTGTGTTTAAAGATTTTGACTTTAAACTGGTACGCAGCTATTCTGATTCACCCTCCATGTTTATACTTGTTTATTGACATTGTTAAGGTCCTTCGAAAAGAATTTCATGGAGTCTTTCTTGCTGAATATATTTGCCAGATAATAATGTTCAAGATAAAGAAGATTTTCAAATAAAAGAGGAATCTCGGGACAACCGGGCAATAATAGACAATAATCAGGCACAAAACCTCACTGGTGAAGATATAGATGAAATGAGGAGGTGAGAACATCACACATTAATGGTCAGTTATAGGGCTTTAATTTGCTATTATTTCCCAACTTTTGCTTTATATTCGTTGGAACATGCTTTGCAAGTTTAGGGTTCTTGTCACTCCCTTAGTATGTTTGAGAATCATGGTCACCGGATTGTCTTACTTATTATTATCTTTTGCTTATATATTTGTCTTCTTTAACTTGTTATTTTTGTGCAGACAGGGAGCTACTGGAAATGAAATTGTTGAAGCTCTCATTGCTAATAGCACAACATTTGAAAAGAAAACACAGTTCTCACAGGTAAAATACCAATGTGAAATAGCAAGTTTGAACTTTGAACATAAGCTGAATCTATAGACTGATAGAAAAGAAAAGCAAAGAAGAAACTTACAGGCTTAGAAAAGCAAATATAAGCTGATTCTAGTTTATCTTCAGGAGAAATACAGGCGTAGGAAGCAGAAGAAGTATGCACCTAAAGTACTTTTGAGACGTCCTTTTGCCCGAAGGTATCTCGTTCTTCATTCTTTTCCTACATGTAGCTTGTCAATGATTTTTCTCCAATCTCTCTTTGCTAACTTGTGTTTGCTATTCTATTGCTCAGTATATCTGAGGCATACTTCAAGAAATATCCAGTTAGAATTGGGTAAATACACATTCACATATGAATGTTTCTGTCAACTAATTCAGTTGTGATTGGAGCTTATAGTAGTCGTTTCATAATTCATTAAAATAATATCCTAGGAACTCATTTTCCTCTTTGATTGATTTCAGATTTTTGCGAGTGGATACTTTGTCTCTTTTGCTTTCAATGGCTAATATTGCTCCAAATTCAGATGTGCTTGTAGTGGATATGATTGGTGGACTTCTTACTGGTGCTGTGGCAGAGCGTTTAGGTGGTATGGGATGCTTAATTCTCTCAAGATCTGTCTTTGTAACTTTAAATTGTAATTAGTTCTGCTAATTTAAGGGCAAACATTGTAAAATCCTTCATGATCTGGCTGTATAATATTCTTATTATTTCAAATTGAGAAGTATTAGTTGTAACTTTTACTCACACTTATATTTTGGGCAACAAAGTCTCCTTATTGCTTTTCTCTCTTTGGCCTCTTTATAGGTTTCAAGCTTTTTCAGGTTTTCAACAATCACAAAAAGACAGTCATATCTAAAAGATTTTTATATGAATTCTATTTTCTTTGTTTTATGCATTAGCAGATTGATGAATGATAACTTCTGATCAACAGGTACTGGTTTTATCTGCAATACTTATCTTGGAGACACACCATATCCCATGGATATAGTAAGGATTTTCAACTTTAGCAATGAAATTTGCCAGAGGTAAAGATTCGTTTGGGTTTTATGATTCTCTGGAGTCATTACTTGAAATTTTATGTCTCAAGAATTCTTATTGCTATTAGCTAGTTAGTCTTGTATTTACATAGATCTGGTTTCTTACCTCTCTCCCTGCTCTCGTTGAGTCTGTATCATATATAAATATGGAGCCTTCCCCCACCACCCTCATTCTAACTGAACTTCTTCTCCATGTCTAGGATCCTGCGGTGTTCCCTCAATGACCTCCATTCAGCACAGAATGGAACTTGTGACCAGAAGCAACAGCTTGAAGGTGGCTGCATGTTAGAAAGTCAGTCAAATGTGAGTGGCACCACCTTATTGTATTTTTGGTACATCAAAGGGTTAGCTTTTTAGCATCATAGAGGTTTGAACCTCTAACCTTGACCCCAAATCAGAGTTTTTAAGTCAGTGGGTATCAACTCAATAAAGCTCTTGTTGGTGGCACCACCTTATTGTTTACGTATGATTTCATTGCTTTCGGCTTAATGGTTTAGAACAATTTCTTTAGGAACAAATATCATTGTCAGCAACTGCAGAAGAAGTTCAACTTTCATCTGAAGATGGTTTGGGTCTTGCTTCTGATAATGATCTCTCTGCGGTAAGTAAAACTTGCAAAGCACCAAAAGCTGGAGACAAGGCATCAAAAGAAACCATTCAGTTATGGAAAGAAAACGGTTTTTCTAGGTACCTCCACTTGTTTAACAACTGCTGTACTGAGAACACATTTAATCATTTTTTCCATTTTAAGGAAGCATATTTTAATTAATTATTTCATGACTCTTCTTTCTGTAGCCTAATTATTGCGGCACCGGAGGTGGATGTTTGGAGTTTTGTGAAAGATCTGCTGCCTCTTTTATCATACTCCGCTCCTTTTGCTATCTACCACCAGTATCTGCAGGTCATTTGCTTAATATTCCTGACTTTCATTAAAAGGTGAATATCCATACCTTCACAAAACTAACAGTAGCTTTCTCTATTCAAATGCAGCCTCTTGCAACATGCATGCACAATCTGCAGGTTGAGAAAATGGCAATTGGTTTGCAAATTTCAGAACCTTGGTTACGTGAATATCAGGTTTCTTTTTCCCTTCCCTTTAAACCCTTGTTCCATTTAAAAACTTTCCCTTGTGGTTAAACTTTGGTGATAAAATATTTTACACTTCCCTTTTCTTCTAATACCAATTCAGGTTCTTCCATCAAGAACTCATCCATGCATGCAGATGAGTGCAACTGGAGGTTACATTCTTAGTGGTACTAGAATATACACTGGTTGACAGTTGATCCACTCTCCAGAAGAATAAGGAGCAGAGGCTGAGCTCCCTTATTCTCGCCGGTTTCTGTCTAACTTATAAAACACCACTCCAGATCAGATGTATCATTAATTTATAATTATTTTTTAAAAATTTGCATGATTTTTGCTGTTGAAAAATCTATAAACAATAGACCAGCAAATTTTTGGCTGGGGTTGTGATTTGTGTTGAGCATTTTTTTCCCTTGAGTGTATTATATTTCCTACTTTCTTTTCTCTTTGATTTGTATTTTTAAGAGTGAAACTGGGATTTATCTTTTTGGAGTAGTGAAATTTATTGGTAATTTAAAGAGTTTATTAATATTGGAAAA